ATTGAGAAAGACCAAAGAGTCAAGAGAAACAAAAGGCTTGATTGAGATGATGTGCAGATGAGCAAAAAAAATTCAAATTGGAGGTGATTTGAGAGAATGGAGACATTAAAAACCTTATAAATGAACAAGTGATTCAACTGAGATACACAATCCGTCCTTTGAGATAACCAATCAATCATATTTCAAGATGAACATTGTACCCAGTTTGATTTTGATATGAACAATTGATCCTGTTCCGAGAGTAACAATGAGCCTATCAAATTTTGAGATAAGCAGATACTAACACAAACACATATGTTATATTAGTGATAGTGTTGGAATGGATGGTTTGAGAGAAAGGAGACAAAAACAAACTTACAAATGAACAATCGACCCAAGTTTGCTCTTTTTTGATTTTGTCATTGATGAATCCAAGCTTTACTTCAATCCAACCATGATCAAGAGGAAAGTTGAAAGTGATTTAGAAAGTTTGGATCTACTCACTCAAAAAGCAAGGGAGTTTGGTAAGCATTTAGTGGATGTGATGATAAGGATGTGATCAACTGTTGAAAGGAGTATTTGGCAGTGAAAGAAGAGAGGAAGCTGGAAGAATGAAAGAAACAGTTGATCGTTGTGAAGTTGATAAGTTGCATGATGGATAAAGAATGGTGTTGATGAGTTGATGAATCAATTGAAGAAGAAAATTCTTGAAGTATGATGAATTGCTTGAGGGTTGTTGAGTAAAGAAAAAGAGAAAGTGGTAATCAACAGAGGCAGTTCAATTGATTGATTTTAATGATGTCTTGGGTTTAATGGTGGTGGTGGTTGATGGGTGGTAGAAAATCAAGCTTTGAAAAAAACCTCTCAATTGACTTGTCGGTAGAACAGTGGAACTTGATTGATTAGGTAGACTGCAGGGGTTTTGAGTGTGTAAAAGAGAGAACTGATTAACTTGGATGCCGGTCATCCAAGCTCTTTTGGATGCTGAGGACCTGGATGACAGGTTGTTCTCAGACAAACCTGATCTGCCTACTGATCAGCTGGTAAACCACACTACACCAATGTGCTCACTTTTTTCATGTCTTGGCTAGGTGACGGCCTGGGTGAGGGCCACGTGATCTCCCTCACGCGCCTGTCACCTAAAAACATCTTATAATTTCACAGCCCCACCACACAATGCCACTATGCCTTGTTTCAGGTGGGGCCAGTTCAAAGTCACCCCGTGGTGTACATATGAGGTTTGTTTCTAGATATCAGAGTAATGTACAGTGTCCAGATTGTCAATATATAATGTGAATGTTAATCAATAACACCAATGTGAAATTTTGGTTGTAGGAGATTGTGATGAAACATTATTTTTTGCTGAAATGCTTTCTTAAATACTTGAGACATTGAATTCGATTTCTTATCAAAATTCAATGAATGATTTATCAGTTGCTGTACATCAACACAAATGAGAACCCCAGGCAGAGTAAGTGTCTTATCTTTGAAAGATCAAAGATAGGTTCAGAATGTGTTGTTCTTTATCATCTTGATTTGATGAAATTAAATGAAATTACAGCACTGTCACCTTTTTTGGTTCTTGGAAAGTTGGATGAATTAACTGGGGTCAAGAGTCAAAAGGTCTAACATCTTTTGTTGGCAACTTAACTACTGGTTGATCCCATATCTCTTCTGGTTGATAAAATTCAAGTCTAAAAGAGATAAGATAAGTCCTTTCAGACATACTATATCAACATTCTTGCCAATGTCTACTCCTACTAAGAAATAGGCTGCAACTGAGGCACTGGAAGGTATGCAATCAGCTTGAGTGAATAGGTCTTCATATAATAGTTGTGATCCCAAAATTCAATCATTCAAGTTGGATCATGGATGATCAGTTTCTGGCAGATTGACTTGTGAGTAAAACACACAGAAGAGTCAAATTACACTATCGAGACTTTGAATTTAAGATTATTAATATGTTCAAAGTTTATTTCATTGGCACAACAGATTCATTAGTGGTACACAAACATGAAAACCCAACCTAAAAACACGTGGACAAAATCCATGACAACCCAATTGCTTTTTGGGTTTTGTTCAATGGGGAAGCGGAAAATCAATGGACAAAATCCCAAAAACAATTGGGTTGTCATGGGTTTTGTCCATGGGTTTTCAGATTGGGTGTTCATGTTTGTGTACCACTATTGGGCCAAGAGTCAACTTGAGTCAAGTTAGATGACAATTTTTCCTGACTTTGAAGCAACTTTACTTACTATAGAATGTAAAGTGGGTATTATACCAAATTACCAAATGATGATATTAAACTCTCATCAATTTTTGATGTAGTGTAAACAATCACTTGATTGAATAATGACTCAGATTTTTTGGGTTATAAATTAATTCAAAGATTGCAGCCAAAGATACTGTATGCTATGATTTTCAATCAACTGGTTTTCTAAGAATGTATTGAGATTGCATTACTCCTACTGTATGCATTAGTCTCATGAGTCAACTCTTGTTCTGGTAATTACATTCCAGCTGGGGTATATGTAGTGATAATTTGGGTTAAACAGATTCATGGATCCATACTATAAATCAGATGCATTCATTACACTCATGGATTTAGGAGGATATTCTTTTGATAGTCTAGATTATGAATCAATTGAAAACTGAACTGATATCCTCATTTTGGTCATATTCACCCCAATTCTTCATCCACACGTGTCAGTTTGGCAAGAGCTTTACAGAATAAATTTGGGATATTGCCTTTATTTGGCTCTTGATTTCCACATTTGGGTCATTCTACTTGCACTTACAATGGATTACTGATTGTCCCTGTTTTTTATACTGTGAAAGAAAAAGGTATCAACATTCTATGGTAGCCCGAGAAAGATCTTAGGTCCAAAATAGCCAAATGGTTGCACTCACTTCATCTTTGCCCACCCATAGTTGAGGGAATGATCCCAGGCTAGTCAAGATACCACCTCCTAACCGACTTCCAAAAAGTTGTTCAGATATGTTTCCAACCGCTGTAGTGATTTTACTGCCACAAGCGGTAAACAATACTTGAAAGAGGAAAACTAGTGCCCTGGGAGCAAGAACGCTAGAGTGGCCTCAAGGCTGCCCTTTCTTAGTTATAAAGATACTTGGGCCTTGACTGTGCAAGTCTAATTGGGTCAAAGCTCTAGCGATGAAATAATACTCAACACCCAAGTGGATGATATTCCCAGTTTTATGCGCAACTAACTAGCAACCTGGTTGATTTCGAACAAAAAAAAATAAAAAAATAACACTACTAAAATTAAAGATCTCCCTCTTAGAGGGGGCTGATTTTAAAGTGACCAAGGACTACAAAGTAATATAATAGATTTAATTATAAAAACTCTACACTGTCGGTGATGAAGAAAAAGAAAGAAACCAAAAAAAAACACCCAACAAGTACACTTCTTATACCCTCCCTTCAACTCTTTCACTCACAACACCCACATGGTCCTAACTAAAGATATTCACAACAAGAGAAAAGATTATCGCTAGCTTTTCAAGGTCACGAGGAGGATAGAGCCCCAAATCACGCGTAAAGGAAAAGAAAATTAACGTAAACCACCCGTTACTTATTTTCCGCAAAACTTCCTCTCATACTATTGGCTCCATCGTGATGATTGCTGATTTCGCTCGAGGATTGTCAAAAAAAGAAACAGAAAAGGTGATGAGGGTCGTTTATCGGTTACGTTCGACTGAAAAAAAGATCTTGGGTATTATATTTATTGTAGCATGACCCGATATAGTCATTTTGGCACGTGGAATCGCCTACATGTGACTGTTATACCTCCCCGAGTAAGTCTTTTTTTTTTTTCGTTATCAATAGGATTTGCAACTTCTAAATGTTGTAATGTGGAAGATAAATTTATGTTGTTTTTTTTTTCGGCCGATCCCGTTGTTTTTTTCATTTTTCAGTAGGTAGCTTGCCCAAGTGTTATCAATGTTTGAAATAGGATGTTCAGCGATTCTCCAAATACTTCTTTGACTACCCGAGGTATGAGTTTTATCGTAAGCCGATTTGTTTTCACCTGAATTTCTTTTTTCAGCCGAATTGATTTCACCCAATCTTCTTATTAGTTTATATGTCTTGTTGTCTCTCCATCCGCATTGCTAATGTTTACCCCACTCGCTTTCTCCCTCAATTCACCCCTGATTTATGTAAAAAAAAAAGAAACGTAACCAAAAAAAAGAAAAAATAGAAAGAACCGCGACCGTAAAAAAAAAGAAAAGAATAGTTATTATATGTTTGTTGTAGATTTTTTAAAAAAAAGAAAGAATTATAAAAAAAAAAGAAAAAGTGAAACCTAAGTTTTTACCTGTTTTTACTCAATAAAACTTCAAACTTGGCTGTAATTCAAGGCAATACAGCCAAATTCCAGGTTTTAGCCGGTTAAAACTTAGGTTTCAAGCTCACAAACTTTTTCTTTTTCAAAAAGGTGCGACAAGCAATATCGGAATGGCTGTAGATTTTTTAAAAAAAAGAAAGAATTATAAAAAATTGAGCTGTTATATATCAAAAAAACTGGAAATTTTGAATGTCGAGATTAGTGATTTTGATGTTCTTTTTTTGTTATTAAAAAAAACTAATTGGGGTGTGCTATTAATGATTTGTGTTGATTGTAAAAAAAATGAAATAATAAAAAAAATAAAAGAAAAGAAGAAAGATGATCAAGAAGAAAGAAGAAATAAATGTGAAAATAGAATATAAGTTTAAAAAGGTGTTCTACTAGCTATTTAAATCTGATTACGCAGATTGATTTTTTTTTTTTTTTTTATTATTTGTTTGCCTTGATATAAAAAGTTGATTAGTGAGAACTTTTGCTCACAACACCGCTGTGATCTTGAACTTAATTCCAGGCATTTGAGCTTCACATTCACACCAATTGGTCCAATGAACCTGGCAAACAACTACAACCACCTGTAATAGCTATATCAGCACTAAGAATTGCTTGACCATCTGTGTTACACTTTGTGATAGATTTTAAAATCATCTTTGGTAATTAAATGGCTGCTAATAAATCAAGTGTTGGAATGGTAGATGCTGGATTCTTTCCTTTGATCTGTGAAGTAAACTCTGGTGGTATAAAGGTTGACACTTCAGGTATTGTGCAACACAATCTACCAAACTGGTAGGAAGCTTGAATGATCTGTTTGGAAGGGCGGCTACATTACAGAGAGAGAGCAACAGAGTCAACTTTCAATCTGAAAAAATTAGATCCAGCTGGCACTCAATCATATAAAGATGTGGATTACTCTTTGTCCCATGATCGAGGTGAGACTTCAGGTTGGATTGAAGAAAACTTCAGGTATTGTGAAGTTGTCTGGTAAGAAGCCCAAATGATCTGATTGATAGAGAGAGCAATATATTCAATTTTGAAACTGAAAGATTGAAGCCAGTTGGCAATCAATCATATAAAAATGTAGATCACTAACTGTTTGTGCAATGATCTAGGTAAAACTTCACATGTGGATTCCTTGAGGTTGTGCATGATACATAATTCCTGATATTTGGCATACATTGGAGTAGTGGTTGAGTTTGCTTTGCCTGGCATACGTTCTTCACGTAACATAACACAGGCTAGGATTTGCTCAAGCTTTGGATCCATCCTTGCTAGAGACCATGATGGGTGTGTACAGCAGCAAAGTTTTTGATGCAATGAAATATTATGGTAAGATTGATGTAGTCAACTCGGATTGCATTGTTGACAGTAGAAGTGATGACAGTAAGCCTCTGGAGATAAGTGATTTCCGAATGCCTTTGCACATTTAACCCATTCAGAGCGTGATGCTGGTGATGATTTCAAGATGGTAAGCTTTCAAGTCTGTGAATGATGAGCTCACCTTTGCAAAGCACAAATCCATCGCAAACATTTCAATTGAGTAAAATGGTGAGCTTGATTGACTGAAGGCATCGATTTTGATCGGTGGAAAGAACTGGACTCAGATTCAGGAAGCATATCAATGGGAAGCTCGATTTTGATTTAGTGAACAGATTGATTTGGATTGAGTAAAGGACTTGATTTGAATCGAGCAAAGATCTTGATTATGATCGAGTAAATGACTTGGTTTGAATCGAGCAAAGATCTTGATTATGATCAAGTAAACAGATCGGGATTGGTTATTAGGAGCCAGAGGGCTATGGCTCTGATTTGCAGTTGATATTCAAAGTCTTGATGATCAAAAGTTTTGATGATAAGGGGATTGACGAGGTAGATTTTTATCCAGTTTTGTTTGAATTGAGGGTTCTTTGTTCATATGTATAATAATAATGATGATGATTGAAGAATGACGACGGGATTTCAAAAAAGAAAGAAATCTCATAAACATCTAGAAACACTTGAATTATCAAAACAATCACTAAAGAAAACATTTGATTCTTATGGTTTTACCTCACCAAAACAATTTATCATGTTTCTCATCCAATGAAATTGTTCTATTGGATTCAAATGAATATCTTTCATTGTCATCATAATATAAATTTGATGGAACTGTTGAAAACCCTCAAATATGAATATTCTTGTCTTTCTTAGATAGGATATCATGATGAAACAAAGTGCTTACTTAAGATGTCTTTGGTGATGATGAATGGCTGGGGTTTCTTTGCTCTCACCAACTCCTACTTCATCCAACTCAAGAGCACCCAAGTGTTGTAATTGGCGACGTAAATGGGCTTCCTGTTCTGCTTCCCAATTGGTTGGGTCGAGAGCGAGTAATCATAAGCTACATGCAGTTCACCTCCCTTCTTGTTTGGGTTATTGATAAAATCCCGGTCAGATAAATCAAGAAGGTCAGTCTTTCGACTTGTATGACATGCAATAGACTCTCAGGAGAGCTTTGAAGATAAAAACTATAGCAAACGAACGGAATCAAACAATAACAGACCTTGATTTATGGTGCTTCCAATTGGACCATCTCCTTTGTTTTGTCCAGGCACTGCATTATTTATAATCAAAACATAACTCTAATCAGTGAGGTTCTTATGATGTGTCTAGAGTGGAAAACTTACTAATCCCCTGTCTGAAAAACTTCACTAGATGAGAGGTTTCTGGGCAATTTTCTGTTTGTCTCAAAAGATTGATAGTCTTGTTTATTGAAAGATTGTCTGTGTGAAAGTTTCAGGTCAAACTGTTAGCAATAACATTAATACTTCTGAAGTTTTTGACACTGACAGGACTGGTATGGTTTGAAATACATGTAACTGACCCAAGCAGGCCAAGCTGGATGTCCCTTCACCTTGGCAAGGACAAGATCTGAGATTTCATCTGCAAAACATGTCAAGGAGTTAAAGAATTGATGATTGATTCCAATTTTGACAGGTCCTTGATTCCAGCTCCTAATATAAATTGAATTTTCTTGATGGTGATCTTGATAATCTTGATGCTGATTTGATTTGATTAAAGTTGAATGATGAGGTTTGATCGATCATTTGGAATTCAGATGCTGAGTGTACATACGTGTACATAGTGATGTATTGAACTGAGGTTTTGGACTTGTACCCTAAGTGAAATGGCTGAGAGAGTAGTTTTGTCCAGTTTTGTTCAAATTCATGGTTCTCTCTTAATATGTATGATGATTGTGTGAATATGATGTTGAACCTCACCTATGTGGAACTAAATCTGCATAAGTCATCAAAACCTTATATACTTGTACCATCAGTGTGTGTGTCAAGTGATAGCATCATCCTGGCATACTTTTTTTGAAGATTTACGCCCAATACTTCACCAGATTTTTATGTCCATTCAAGACATATCCTACATCATCTCAGGTTGGGGTCATGATACTTACATCAATTATGAATAGTAAATTGTGATATAGCACCATCAAATGTAGTTTCTGACAAAATGGGTAACACAGTTTGGGTAGACTGTGGTACAGCCTTGAGTCAATCAGTTAAAACTGTGAATAAAATATGTTTCTCTGAGGTGAAAAATGATTGAATTTGATTTACAAAATGATTGAAAGTGCATTAAACTGCATTGTTCTGCATTTCATCTACATTATTGATCATTTTGTGCATTAAATTCAATTATGTTTCATCTTGCAGAAACACATTATATTTGCAGTGTAATAAAGATTCAGTAAAAGATGGATCAGGATTTGAATTAGTTATGATGCCTTCTCCCAAAGTTTATTGGGTTTTAATAGGGTGAAAACAAAAGGCAAAAAAACACAGAGAGTATGATGCACAGTGCCTGTGGAGAGGTCCCACAATGTTGGGGGCTCCAGAAAGTACAAAGGCTTGCCTTTGTACTCTCAAAGGCCTCCACCATTGGGGGCACTGTTCACGGGCACTGTTATGGCACCATTTTGTCATGTCTTTGAAGGATGATTTTGGCAGGGTTAAATTCAAGGAAATGTTATCCAAAATGTAAGGCAAGTGCAAGAGGGATAACTATAGACAACAGGATTTCATTCTCTTCCCTGTGTATTCTGCATCCTTCAGGGCCCCTGGACCAGCACCTCAAAGAAGAAATAACCAGGAGACAGCAAGAGACAAGAGAAAAAGAAGAAAAAGGCCAGGTGTTGTGAGAAGGTGATGAGAACAAATCGACTGGCTTGAATGAGGTAGGCTTGGCATAAGGTCAAACTTGGATTGAAAAAATTACTTTGAATGAAATTTGGCTTCAGTGTTGGGGGTCAACAAGATTTATGGTGGACACTTGATATACTACAGAGACAAGAAGATATTGTGTTAGCATGGGGTATCACAGATATATAAACAGGCACCTGCCAGACCAGGAAACTCACTTGTATTATGATCCACCTCCACCACGGGTGAGAAGGCTCTAGTTTTATGATCTGGAGTAACCTCTGGCCCTTTCGCAACCTTCACAACGTATGTTAGGATGTTGTCCGGCATTTTGGCATGGTGTTGTAATTTGATAATTTCCACTGTACTTCCTGCAGGTCCGACATCGCAACTGTTGGACATATACATTTATTGGACATTCTATTCCACTGGCAGCACCACATAAACAATCCAGACTATAACCACATTTGCCTTGTTGTTGTTCCCAACTCAATACACCTCCGCAGTGGCCACATTGTGTACAGAAGCACACTTGTGCCAGTCCCAGGATGAGAGCTGTGAAGATGATGAAGTTGGATGGCGATTGTAATTTCATACTCTTGAAGCCAATCAATCAACTAACTTATTTGAATGTATGAACTCCTTTTTGGAATTTATTTGGAAGTTCAGTACTAAATTGATGGTGGTCAATATGATGATGAATAAAGGGGGAATTTGGAGAAGAGAGGGAGCTTATATACCTTTTCTGAGAGAAATTTCCAGGGGCCAAGTTGTGGTTCAGATCGGATTCCAAAATGTGGGATAGATTGCACAGCTGGTTTATCAATCTGTGACAAGTTCCCAGAAGTGGAGACCAGTGTGATTTGATACTCAAACCTGCATACAGAAACACAGTCTATGTAAGTATGGCCACATTGTGGTTCTGATTGGTTTCCAGAATGTGTAATAGACTGCACAGCTGTTTTATCAATCTCTGGCAAGCTCCCAGAAGTGGGGATCAGTGCTATTTTTATAGCCAGACCCGCATCATTAAACTCAGCTTATGTAATTATGGCCAAGTTGTGTTTCAGATTAGTAGGCAAAATGTGGTCGAGACTGCACAGATGTTTTGTCAATCTGTGGAAAGTTCCCAGAAGCTGCAATTTGGTACCCAAACCTGCATCATGAAACCCAGCTTATGTAAGAGAGTTCACCTTCCAGGTGACCTATTTGATAGCTCTTTCGTGTCTCTATCAAAGCTCTTCTGTGTGTGCACGTCAACGTGCTACGCGGTTACAGTCATGCTGTCATAGATTGTGATGCTGTGTTTGGTATCTCAGTTCGATTGGCTTTAGGTTATAAACCTGATACATTTTCCAGGGTTTTTATTTTATTTGAAAGTTTTTTTATTTATGTATACATGATTGTAAAGAATTTGAGGGAAAATTTCTAGCTTCTGTCTTACGTAGCGCGCCAACTTCTTCAGTGATATGATTTCCATCTGATGGGCTTAGTTGTTAACCGGATTAATCTCTCAAATTTAGATCTATTTTGAATTGAGATTTATAAAACGTATCGAAAGTCTGAAAATCATTTACAACATAAAGCATTAGTTTTCAGCCTTTTCGAGGGGTCGATGACTGAGAGGTCTTGTCAACATTGGAGCTCACCTGGATCTTTTATATCGGTAATATCTCCATTCGGGTGGTCATAAATATTATTCTTCAATAAATGAGGTCGTATAGTTGACATCCTAGCTGATGGACTAGTAGTATCTCTGTCTATCGACGTTTTACATCTTTCTGAATCCGAGTCACTTAACCCAGCTTTCTCATTTCGTTTGGCATTTTCATTTGCCAAGTAGACTCTCATCACTATGAGAAGTACGCTACACCCGAGATAACATAGACCCATCGCGAACCAAGGTGAGGGATTTTTAGGATTGTATTGATCCTTCCAAATTCCAGGTGCTAGATTTTGTTTTGTTTTGCTCCTGTTAGAATTTATCTCTTGATTTAGACTCATCGAAGAAAAGTCACTTACAAATTAAATGTCCTAAACAGTGACCAACCATCACAATTGACTGGACAGTCACTCTTTCTAAGTTTCAGCATATTTAAACATCATCTCATCAGGATCCATCATTTTACGGTCCGTTAGAAAAAGACCTCGAGGAAATTTTGATGGGATTGAGAATGACTCAACTCGTATGACCATTCGTGTTAGAGATGATCAGGTCAAGAGCAATAATATAGGCCTGTAAGTAGAGTTCAGGATTGAGACCATTAGGACATGATATTTTTTGTGGGCGGGTCAAGGCGGAACATACAATAGGAGAGAACCAAGTAAGGTATATAGACGCGATCAGAGTCCCCTTGCTATTTTCAGGTGCCATGATGGCTAGCACTGTACCTATAACATTGGGGATTTGCATGAAGACTGGAAATGAAGGTTTCAATAGTTTCGAGTTAATCAAAGTGGATCATATTAAGCAAAAAAAGCTCACTCACTCCCTACGTAGGCTCTGGCTCCACTAAAACATCTCAAAAGATACATGGCTATGTAAATATTGATGATATGCATCAAACTAAATGTGCAGCTCAGCGCTGTTGTGTTGCGAGCTGAATATTCGAAAAATGAAAACTGTAATAGGTTTCAGACCACCAAGGAGTTTAGCTTTCTAACCAGAATTCGGCGCACGATAAATATATTTACTGACCAGTAATGCTTGATGGCATGTGATGTTGGGAATGTTGACGAGTATCATATATACAAACCAAATCCAAGTCTTAACGTCACATATGGCCTCAACAGCCTGTTCCCTATCAAACCATCGTGGGCCATTAAAATGCTAATAAAAGCGTAATATTAGTCAATGTCTTGAAGAAGAAAACAAAGTGGAAATGCTCACATCACTGGGCTCCAGTTTTTCTCTGGCTACCTCTTTCATCTTGTCCCTCAGAAACCAGGCCGTTGAGGGGGAATTAGGAAAAAATAACAAAAACAGAATAAAGATGGCAAAAGCCATGAAGGAGACTATGAGATACAACCATTGCCATGCATGTAGCTGTAAAGCGAAAAAGCCCCCGGTATCAGCTTTTTACGTTGGCAGGAATTCCTTCAACCGTTGAGTTATCGCTTACCTTTGTAAAAGTATGCCCTGAGAGAATATATGTCACTAAGCTGTTAAAGATGCCTCCGACTGACTACACGCAGAGAGTATCCAAACAAAAATCTGACTGTGAATATTACCGGATGGAACATCTTTTTTGATTATTCTACTTACGTTCATTACAAACCAGTAACCTACATAATGATAAATGTAATAAAACAGCAGTGTATCAGTGCACAAAGGGACTGGATACATCCAAAATTGAAAAGAATCACTGACCGATTCTCGGACTACGCTCACTCCGAGAGTAGAACCTAATGATATTCTTCAATCAGTTTCGGCGATTCCTTGTTCTCGAGCCTTACCGTGAGCTGTCACTGACCTTGAAGTAACAGACATGAGCCCAGATGTGATACTAGATAGACACGCTCCTAGTAAAAGTCGACAAAATAGTAAATGTTCAAAGTTCATACACGCCTATCGAAACTATGGTCAGCTTATCACATTCATAGAAGAAAGATGAAGATCAATCAACTAACGGCATGAGCTCCCATCAAGATGGATACCAAGAGGATGTTTCCCGTTAAGATTTTACCCACTGGAAAACGTCCCATGAGTAAGTTCTGAGGAAATACAAAGACTAAGTAGGAAACTGAATCACATAAAAACTGAACCTCAGTTAAAGTGACACGTGCTTCATGGAACCCAGATGGGAGATCATGACGTACCGTAAAATGTGGTCCCGAGTGTTGTGAATTCATTAGGACTGATCTTAACGTCATTCTCCGAGGATAAAATCAACGTGTATCCCAAAATAGTTTTAGCAACACTGAAAACAGGATAGCATTAGCTGTGGGCAAGAGCGGAAGGTGCTTCGATAAACTGTAGTCCTAAAAAGCGTACAATTGAATGAAATAAAGTATCATCATCCTGTGAGATGTGGAGGAAAGCCCAAGGTTGAGGAATTTGATCTTGTGTTTGTGATTTCATAATAAAATCTACTGACAAAGGTAAAACTATCATTCAAAAATCTATGTCAGGGATGGAGGCCATTCAGAATCCATTCAACCAAGCAACTCACGATGAAAGTCCATCTTGCGTTTGATTTTGAACGCATCGGACTCGGTGATCATAAAACCTTTGCATTGTACTTCTCGGGGCTGATCAGGTTTCCCCTCTACGACTTCTTCTTGTTCTCTTGATCCACGTGATCCACTAGCAGCTATAGTTGAATTTTGTGGCATTGAGAGGTGATTTTGATCCTAGCAAGCTTCAGGTGAAATCGACATGCGCAATCCAAAGTAGCAGGTCTTGAGATATAGTTGGTAAAGTAAGCAAAGCTTCTTCGAGGAGTGTACTAAAAGTGACGACCAATCTATGTGCGACCCATCCTCACGGGAAGAAGATACACCGACCGGGCAATATTAAACTCATCACGACAGAAGATCCAAAATTCTTGAAGGCGAAAGTACAAGCAGTGTAAAGTGATTTAATTCGTCACCACATTTTTTGTGGAAGGCTGACTGTAAAGTGAGATTGAATACCCTAGATCTAGAAGAATACCATCTTGTTGTTAAGGTCAATTCAGGTAGATCTTGACTTGAAATGGTACATATGAACTCACTCAAACTCAACAATGGAGTTTAGCAAACACCAAACTGAGTTGTCCCACATTTTAGATCAACCTAGATTCACCTTGATCGAGCTGTAAAATTGTGGTGTGTACGGCGTGCGCCACCGACCGATGATTGTGGCGTGAATTGTCCACTCTTGGAATGAGACTTAAAAGTCTTGCATACGAGCACGTCATTCCGGGACCGTGGGTGGTGGAGAGAGGGTGATGTGAGGTTATTTTTCTTTGTGCAAACTTACCAACAGGTGACCGTGTACGAGGGGGTTTGAATCTGCTGTAAGGATGATGTTGTCATTGAAATTTCTATTTGTTCCATCAGCAGTGTCACAGTAGCATAGTAAGATCATCATCCATTCCAATCCAACAAACCTCAACCCAGACCTATAAATGTCAGTCCATGAGTTCACAATACCTTCATATCTACCTCTCAAGGCCCTAAAAGTAAACAACATGGAATGAAATTGAAAAAGAATGAAAAAGAATTGCTTTCTTTCTAATTAACCCAATGTACTGTTTCTTATCCCTACTTTAATCTTTCTCATATGAAACAAACTACTTCTCTAAAGAACAACTGTTGTAAAATAAACCCTAAATAAACCACTCATACAAAACAAAATTAACACAATAACAATAATATTTCAAAGAGTTTTTAGAGAAAAAAAATAAAACAATCAAACCAAATCAAAGTCCCATTGTTCAAAACAAAACAAAACAAACATCATCACAATAAGAACAAGAACAAAGAGAATTAAGAAGATACTATAAACGATTAATTTCTATAGAAATAGATTGATTACACAACACCCTTATCAAACCTTAACAATCATCTAATTCACTTAATTCACTTGTAAGATTTTGATGGGCTTTCTGATGATGATGATGATGATGATGATGATGATAACAAGAATGAATAAGTTTTTCATTCCCATCTTCAATTCCAACTTTTGGAATCGATTTCTTATCACATTGATCATCATGAAGTTGATCTTCTCCAACCGATGTTTCTAACATATCGATTTCTTCATCGTGACCTTGTGGCAGTCTCTCGACAACGAGCGCACACGGACTGCCTTTGAGGCACAAAGGCGACTCGTGTGCGCTCGACGAGGGGCAAACACCACACAGACTTGGTACTTCTTCTTCCAACTCATTCATTCCCATTTCCTCAAGTTTTCTTTCTTGATTCCCTTCAACGGTTTTGCCATTCCGATTTCTTTCTATATCTAAAACCTCATTGATTTCAAGTTCAACTGATTCAATACTAGTATTTAAAGATTTACTTGTAATATCTTTTATAGATGAATTTAATGATCTTGAATTTGAACTTTTCTTCACTACTTCAGATGATGATTTGTTTGCATTCGTTTTACAACTTGATTGAATTCGATATGAATCTGGATTACTCCATGATCCAATAGCTATTACTGATCCTAAGATCTTTCCTGCTAAATCATATTCATTCATTCCTTCTTCATTTGTTTGTTCTCCTTCTGTTTCATCAATCAGATCACCTGGCTGATCATCTATTGACCTCATTTCTTTCTCTTCATCACTTGAGCCTAATCCTTCTAACAAAGAAGACTTTCGCCGACGCCTTGATGGAAAGCCCGAAACTGTGGTCTTTCTTCTCTTCGCGCTAGAGCTCACCGTATTGTCACTTGTGCCTTGGGTCTTTACTTCATCTTGATCCCTAGTATGAGATACGCCCTCTTGATTTTCACTCGGTTTGCTTGTCGTATGTTTAGGCTCCTCCTCAGCTTTCTTCTTCGATTTAGTAGGTCTAAATCCCAATAACTCCCTTCCAATCGCACTCCCAAGTAAATCAGCTTCTTGTGTTCCACTCTCAATCACTCTAAAACTTAATCTACTACCACGTGGTGCACTAGGTAATCCTTTGAAAGGTTGGACCCCTTGAATAGCTTTTTGAGCTGATCTTGTCGATCTTCTTGGTTGTGGTTCTGAAATCTTGGCCTTTACGTCTGGTGGTGGTGGTTCCCATGGTACGATACCTAATTGTTTTTCTTTCGTTGAGATCCAATAGCTTCGTTTGGGAAGATGTGCATCAAGACTTGTAGTACTGTTACTAAATGCACGTTTCTTGGTGTCCCTGAATTCACCTGATGGAGGTTCAGATTGGGACAATTGGTGATCAGGAAGGAAAGAAGTTGTCTGTCGACGTTGGGAACCGCTAGGTCCTAGTAAAGAAGGTGTGATAGAAGAGTAACGACGTGGGTTATCATGAGCAAGACTAGCTCGATGTTCGGATTTCTGGGATCGATCAGAATCCCACGGAAGGAGTCCTAATTGACGTTGTTTGCTAGTGATCCAATACGTTTTTCGCTTAGAAGTCACATTGGCTACTTGAGCAGGTTGACTGAGCTCGTCGTGATTGTTGTGAAGATTTTCACATTCTTCTTGCTCAGCTGTGCTTAAGATTGAGAGCGATGTAGAAGTGCTGTCGGCGGTTTGATCGTGATTCCATTCTGACTCATAAAAGGGTTCCGCAAGTTGAGATGTGCCAGGGTTGTTGAGGACCGGGAGCGTGAGATCAGTAGTCCGCGTAAACCGCACGTTGCTTACAAAATCAGGCCGTTCTACAGAGCTTGCCAAAGAAGCTTTGACTAAACTAGCCCTTGAGTGATGACGTCGCAAAGAAGATGAGCGAGAAGGACTGGTAGGGGGCTTCTTGGGCTGGCTAGTCTCAGGTGTAGGTGCTGGTTTACTGAGAGCCTGATGTAAAGCCGTACGTTTTGATGGAGGCCTTCCTCGTCCTCGACGTATTGCACTTTCTGGCCGGATAATTTCATTTTGTAGGCTGCTAGACTCTGCTAGCAGGCTTAGACTAGGTTCCTGCTCGGTCGAGATAGGCGACAGGGTCCGCTCACTCTCTTCCTTCACACTCGAGATAGGCGACAGAGTCCGATCACTCTCTTCCTTCACACTCAACGGGCTAGAAAGCGCGTCCTTGACACCATTGATCGCATCAACTGAGCTGAGTTCAGATTCGTCAAACGTGACTCCGTTAACAGGCGGACACAGCGGCGAAAGCTGCTGAGAGGAGGCTGTGAGATCTTCGGCGTAAAATCCACGACCAGTCTGTTCACATGTCGCACACATACACTCGCAGTTTCCTTCACCAAAATAATTAGCGCCATAACTCGTCACGATTTCTTCATCCGCTCGAATCGGTTGAACAACCTTAAACTTGATGGTGAAGCCTTCTCTGAGCAAAACTACATTATTTCTACAATCGTGATTGACAAATCGAGCTGGACCGCAGAAGACTTGAAATTTGCCACGAGAGTTGACGAGATGAGAGAAGTCAGGATGTCCATCAAGTGGATGAAGACCACGTAGACGAAGATCTTCCTCTTCTGTCAAGTCTGCAAAAGAACCTTCACAACCGACCACGATATCATTGACAAGATAATCGCGACTGGCGAAGACAGCGAGATGGATGCGTTGTTTGGATGATGATGAACAGGCTGATGGATCTGAAGTTGATTGACGTGATTGACGCCCACGTTGTTTCTTAGATGGAGTACCTGGAATTGAGTTTGAGGCAGAATCGTGTAAGTTGTTGGCTTCAAACGTGTTTCCCATCTCCATACCAGAAAGAACCGATTCAGAAGCAGCGCATGACGAAGCGCGTGTACTAGAGATCGCCGATGGGTTAAGTGAAGGACCCAATGCTCGACGTCGTTGATCGTAGCGATCTGTCTCACAAAATTTGATGCCACATTTAGGTTGGAAAAGTTGAAGATAGAGTCCAATATGTCTGTTCGAAGTTTGAGGGTGACAGCCAGAAATAAATGATCAGTTACCAATGGTGAAGAGAAGCCGGTATTGCAGCACAAGACATCGGGATTTGTTAGGGATAAAAGAATCCAAAGAGTTAGGAGTGACATAACTCACTTTCCGACTCGCGGCGGCTCGCCTTTTCCAATGTAAGACATCACTGCCGGTATCCTAAGAAAAGCCTTCCAATGAGTCAATCGCGGGCGATCAAGTAAGAGATGACCAGGGGCAGTTAAACGCACTGTCTGATCAATGAAGTAGCCTCACTGATATTTTTGATGTCATGGGATTGAACCTGTGGTAGGTATAAATTATCAGGGACTAAGGAAGGCAGACAAAACAGTAAGCTAAGAACCCAATCAAAAACTTACCCGACTGATGATGGCCTTGACATCATCGATGTTTAGCGATCGAGGTCTACGATAATCAGGAGTGAATTTGATGGTTCTTTTGTTTTGCATCTGATTAGAGGCATCAGGTAATCCAGTGGTGTCAGGCCAAAGACAAGCATCTAGAACATCGCTAGGAAAGAACGATCAAAAGGTATCAGTAAAAGCATACGAAAAACGACGAGGAATTGATTAATACCTCATCAAATCATCCGTTCGCGTTAACTTCTCAGCCGGAGTGAGGGTAGTGCGTGGGTTATTGGTAGCACGCGGCATGTTTCAATGTCGCGATCACAGTGAATGACTTCTAGAAGCTATGTGAGGATTAGAAAAGGAAGTATCAAACTTATTCAGCAACCTTTGTAATCCAATCGAATGAAGAATGTTGAGTGGTAAACGAGTTGAGTTCACTAACGAATGGTCGAGGTAAAGAAGCCGATGAGTCTTGAAAATGTAAGTCAAATTAAGTTTCGATTGGGAATAATAAATAGAATTGATTGACGAAAAGGCCGAGTGAAAAGCTGAGGTTAGGATATCATCAGAAACCAAAATGAACTTGAACTCGACATTTCTTTAGATCGATTCACTCAACTTGGTTGATAATCACTGATTCAGTCAATTGATCCCAGTCTTGAGCGTAACAAGATGAGTTTGGTGAATGCTAAAGTAAAGGAATGAGGAATTTAAGAAAATCGAAATAAAGCTGAAGTGGATAGTTTAAATTAAATCAAATTAAATCAAGTCGAATAACGAAGAGTAGAGATATTGAACATCATATCATGATCTTGACTGTTGGTTCAGGTTCTGAAGACTGCCAATGAGCTTTGATGAAGCAACCAATCTAACTGACTATGTAATCGTAATCGTATGCTCAAAAAGGAACTTGAGAAATAGAAACATGAAGAACTCAAACTGAACTCTGTACAACCGACCTAATCCTTGTTACAGATCAAAAATCGTACTTCAAATATCCTCACCAAACATTTTAATCTCAGGGCTGAAATCACGTAAAAGCCCGTTATATATGAGCTTCCTTGAACCTTGACTTTTCAATTCTTACGCCCAGCTTCGGGAGGAAATATTGACTCATATGTCTTCTTTCATCCAATCCCCAACTGATTCTTTGTCACAATTGGATCTTTGGAGCTTCAAATAACAGATTTTCCCAAAGTAGACAAACATTTCTGGTCAAGGCTGGACAAACCAGTGTGAAAGTTAGGATGGGTTTTGTAGCACAAGTCTGATTGCTTGTCATGTTGTTCAAATTGGGAATGTCTATAAATGCCTAGCCACAACTTTCTCTCATGTAACCCATCTGACTCAAGCAGTTAAGCATGAACATCTTCTGAAGTGTAAGATCACCGTCAGGTCTGATATTATTGTGAGCTTTATATCAGAAAAATTCTCACAAATAACCCACACATAACATCACTCATTGAACTTCAAATTCTCTATTAAACTCATAAATACAAGATCTTTCCAAACTTCAAAACTTACTGAAGAATGATAATATCACTATTTCTATGAGTGTGTCTTTTATTTTCAAAACTTACCTTCTTCAATGATTTGATCATCTTGTTTGTATAGGCATTCATAGGCTATCAAAATACATTGTGTCTTACCAAAACCTATCTAAACATAGAACTTCTAGGAGAAAGTTGACTTGAGTTTTGGAAAGGATCATCCTATTGAAAATCAGTGCACCTTTGACCTCAAACATGCACTGTATTCAAGTTTCCAATAAAATAAACCTATGTAATGCTTATAAACAGTGATGGGAGTTTTAGATGATTGAGCTTATGTAAAAATAGTTCTATCCTTTATTTTGAGATACAATGAGGACCCCTCATGATGTTGGGGAATCTAGGCTTAATGATATATTTGGTCAGAATGAACATTGACATGCATTATCTACAAAACACCATGATAGAGTAAGCCTTGATCCAAGCTCTTCTTGTTATCTAATTTATTTACTTGATAAACTAGTACCAGCATGTCACTCCTCTAGATAATTTTCTTCTTGATGAATCCCAAGCTCCCATTGTTTGTTGTGAGTTTCACTGCCAGACAAAGGGTGCCTGCACTCCGTCTGACAGTTTCACAGACGAGGTAAAAGAATCCAAGGCCTTTTTGTGGTTGTATCTTTGTTGCGCTGCTTGATTTGGTGATATGCAGTACATGTAAAAACCATTCCACAATGTTGCATATCCCATGACCTTGTTTTGAAATGGTTTATCATCATTGCTACCCCACTGGAGACATCTCTTTCATTTCATCATATTCTTGATCTAATCACATCTACATTCACACATGTCTCTTTAAGTTCTTATCTCTCCACATACAATTTTTATACTCTCAAAGTTTGCACCCACACATGTTTCTGTTTCATTCATATCCTGACTTAATCTTCATCCCAGTTTTCACTAATAAAATTTACCTGCTCTTTATATCTCATATATCTTGGTACAGAAAATTTTGGCTATCAATTTTTTTTAACCATTCAAGTGATATTATCATAACTTTCATCTTGATGTGGATCATTCCCACATATGTATCAGAAGTGGAATACTATAAGGTTTACCAATAACCTTCATCTTACACAGCTTATTTTCACGAAAAAACAAAATAATGTACAAGTAAACAAATTATAATCTACTGAAGATATAAGAGTATGAAAACAAACAAAGCACTAGCTTATATTTTACCTTTTCCAGACAAAGTTAGTTTTCAAGTGATAGTGTTTGCAAGTAGGACTCCGACATGGATCTTGAATCAAGTTCAGGTGAAAGATGCTACATTCTGTAGCTTGTGAAATGCTTAATGATCTGTTACATGTTGTGGTCAATTGTTGCTTGTATCTGAAGGCATTATAAGTTTATTTCAAGGGTTTCCTGACCATACCTTATTGCACATCAACCTATAGTACAGGTTTCTATAAAATGCAGGAAGAAGTGAACAACTAACTGAACAACTTGAGATTTTTTTGGTCTTTGAAATTGATGAAAGACATGAGATCTGCTGAGCTAGGACACGCACTGATATCTTCAATGTACGGGTCCATACTAACAGACATTTTTTTGGCATTGGCATTAGCTGTGCTTTGTGGAGAACGGAAATGTCACAAAAGCAACATGCGAATAGCTTAACAGAATCCCAAACAATCAACGGACCCTCATCAGTTTTCAACTTATGGGAAATTTGACCTAATGCCCAATCAAGTTTGGGTGGAATTCTCGTTAGCCTCCATTTTATCTGCCTTTCATCAAACAAAACCATCAAAGATGACAATGATGGGATTTATTTCAATGAGAATATGTGATGATCTCAAGACATTAAGATCATTGATTTTGTTTGATGAATGAATGCTCAGGCTGAAAAGCTCTTCATTATAATGTGCTCAGGATTTGCATTCAAAGTCGTTCCATACTGGTAGTGCCCGTGAGGTCTACGACAGTGTTGAAGGAAATGGGAATAACAGGCTAAGGATTGGTGAGGATCTTATCGTACGAAAAGCATTGATAGTTATACAAATTATGAAAAGCATACAGCGAAGAAAGCTCTCTTCTTATGAGCGTCGGGTAAGAGGAAAAGTAGTAAGAGAAAATAAATAATCACATTCGTTGAGATGATCAAACGCCTCAAGAGCAAAATGTGATCACCTCAATACATCCGAATTATAGGTTCCATTTGATATATGCTTTTCATCATACCGCCAATGCTTGGACGAAAAGCTCTCCACAAGATGATCAGGATGAGTATATAAACTGACTCTATCCTGACCAAGTCTCCAAACTCCATCCACATCCAACGCTTTACACACATACACACTTTGGGAACACAAACGACCATCACTCTGAACCATCCGACGAAAGACTATATTTTAATCGAACAATACTCACACTATGCATTCGAAATTCTCTTTAATCCTTGCGCTTTCTATTTCCGCCTTGATCACCCAGCGCACCGTTGTGGAAGCTGGAGTGTGCCGCAAAAAGTCTTCTAAGGGATTTCAAATCTCGGGATACTATCCTGTAAGTTTTCATATCTCCATTGTTAACTCCAGTTCATCACGCTGACTTGTTACGCCAAACGTTTTTAATGTATTTCTGTAGAGTTATCGAGCAGGTTTGCTGCCCCCAGAAAGCATTCCTTGGGATCTTTATAACCACATTGATTATTTTGTTGCTGTTACTTCAGAATCCCCATCAGCTGAATTTGTGTTTGACAACGAAGCCAACATAAAAGCAGTCGTTGAGGGTGCTAAAGCTCACAAGGTCACAGTTTCGTTAACGATCGGAGGATGGACAGGTAGCAAGTACTTTAGCTCTCTTGTTAGCACTGACTCCAGCCGTGAGACCTTCGCAAAGACAATCTCTTCAACGTTGACCAAGTATGGATTTGACGGTGTAGACCTTGATTGGGAGTATCCAAACGCGCCTGGAAACGAGGGTAACATCATATCTAAAGACGACTCGGCTAACTTGCTCAAATTCTTGACTGCTCTCAGGGCTGCCATCGGATCCAAGAGGCTTACTGCGGCAGTCTCCGTTCATGGGTTCATGGGACCAGACGGACAATACTTGAAGGACCACAAAGAATACGCTAAGTTGTTTGATTTCATCACTATCATGGCCTACGACATTTATCTCCCGGTTGTGACCCCTCTCTTTGGACCAGGAGCCCCGTTATTTGACACGTGCAATGACCCCAGCTATAAGTTTTCGGTGGCTCAAGCAATCGACACCTGGACTTCAACTGGCTTTCCTGCTTCCCAAATCCTTTTAGGTATTCCTGCATACGGTTATCAGTACACGTTATCTAGCTCGACACTTGACCCAACTAACTTCTCTGGTAAGGAAAAGAGTTTATTTTTTGGCCCCATTGACAAGTCGGCTCAAGCTCAAACGGTAAAGAACGTGGCCCCTACTTCAACTGGATGCAACAGCCCATTGGAAGGAGGAAACTTCATTTTCAAAGACTTGCTCACTTGTGGATTTCTGTCTCCTGATGCCGCTACCGGACAAGGAGGATTTGAACGTCACTATGATAACTGTACTCAAACTGTAAGTCAACGTCATACTCTCTAAAGTCCAAACGATATAGATTCGTTACTGATGCCTACATTCTGTTTTGCTTTCCTTGCAGCCGCTCCTCTTTAACCCATCCACCAAGACACTCATTGCGTATGACGACCCAACCTCTTTGACAGAGAAAGTCAAGTATGCCAAATCCAAGGGAGTTGCAGGTGTGAATGTTTTTGACGCCAGCGGCGACACCCCTTCCCGAATGCTTCTGAAATCAGTGAATCAAGCCTCTAAATTATAAGCTGTATTGTTGAATGTTTCTTGATGATCTTGTGTGTTTCTTATACATTTGCGTTGATTGATTGAATGACAATTGTTCTTGTTTCATGCACAATTAGATTGCCCCCCACTATGAGATATTGCTTTCCCAGAACTTGTCTAACAGGCAACTTGACCTCTCATATTTTTCACCGCATTTCAAAAAATACCCCTTTACGGGATGAATCGTGCAATATAGAAAACAAAAAAACTCTAATAGAGCGAGTCATCACTTTGAGAGCTTTAAACAATAAAACATATAGTCAAATAATAAACACCTCAATTAACATTTTGCAACTTATTGTACTTTTCATAAGTATCTTCCTATATGCAGTCTCATCATGGCCCTTGTCCTCATCTATCAAGCTTTGCCCTGTCAGGACCCTGCCTCATCCAACTCATTAACCTTCGCATGCGTGCGACATTGTTGTCCCCGACCTTTTGTTGTGACAACAAACTACTGTCTAATTGTTCTAATCTTCCCTTCTCTGAGTCTAGGCATATTTTATCAATCGTTTATATTTCTTTTAAATGGTAATTGGATTCAACTCAAAGGTAAGTTGACTCAAATCTTTTTTAAAACAAACTATTCAGAAAACAAACTACATTTTGGATCTTCTTTAGATTGGATGTCAAATGAATTACTAAACCAAATCAATATCATCTTAAGAAACAAAATGATCCAACTGATTACAACTAATTGCTGGGTATTATTACAATGTATTTGAAGAAAGTGATCATTGAAAATTTTTCAACAACAGAACCCTCACAAGTCCAATAATGGAAAGTGTGAGGATCACAGTAAAGTTCATTCAGAATTGTTTGTTTTTGATCAAGGATCTTATGATTGGTTTATTAAAGAATTCTGAAATGGCAACAATGGTATGAATATGCTTATGAATAAATTATCCAATGGCTTTTTTTCTTTTCTTGGGAATTTGCCTCTCTTGGTACTGTTTAATGAATTTTTTTGTAAGAGTTTGGCGACATGATTGTAGCATGATAATTTACATTCCAAGAATATCACCATTTTTTTCTAATCAGGGCAATCTGATTTAACTCTTGAACATTTCTCTTGACATCTTTATAAATCAATGTATCTTTCTCTCTCTCTTCCTGTTTCTTTTCATTTCCATGTACAGTTTCAATTGGGGTATCAATCAATGAGATCTTTCTGTTTGTTTTAAAATTTGATCAAATTTAGAAATCTCATAACACTTTCTGGCACAGGTGTTGTGCCTGATCATCATTTGACATCTGGAATTTGAATCCCCACATGTACCTAGGGCAGTCAAGTTTACCACAACTGTTTCTCTTTCTCATATTGTGTTTGTGTAATTCATCTTGAAAATTTATAGAATGTTATACCTCAAAATAAGGGAGGGTATCCTTTTGGATGCAGTTGTGCAGATGGTTATCAAACCTGGCTCGCAGCGCTGCGGAAAGCGCGCAGCGCGGCACAGCGCGGCACAGCGCGGCACAGCGCGGCACAGCGCGGCACAGCGCAGCGCCAGGCGTAGCCGCTCCGTTGGCCGGGAAACTCGGCCCCGGGGCGCTTTGTTTTCAGCTGATATTCGGGGCCCCCAAATTGGGCCCGCTGCGCTTTTTGCTGCCCCTAACCCTTTCACCGCTGTCCAGCCATCCAGCGCTCAGGCCATCCCAATTCCACCACTACCACGTCCACCACTACCTCAAGCCACCGATCTGGCCCATCGAATCCCATCGAGCAACACCAATTCCCTTCCATCAAACGACACCAATTCTTTTGGCGTCATACTGATCTAATATTTTGATTAATTGCTTTTTGAAATCCAATTCAGATCTTTCACTTTCTTCTTGCCATGGAATCACCATTCCACGAGATCTCACTCAGCCTCGACGAATGGCGGCTTCAATATTGGCGACTGTGGACCGACAACCTGCTCCAAGTTCACCTCATAAAGGTAAGTATCCTTCTCTTGTATTGTCTTTGAATCCCATCGACTCATCTGTTGATCTCTGATAATTGTCTGAATATTTCGATTCCTTATAGAAGCAATCCATTTCATTCACCATCACCACAATCACATCCTCCTCTTTATTAAACTCGTCGCATTTGTTCAATCTACTTAAACGGATCCTAATCATGTCTAAGACTAAGCAACCTACCATTAGTTCTTTTGTATCGTTGGGCTATGAGACCGAGACCGATAATGGACGTACCACCCAACCTCGCCGCTCGTCTCGTATAGTCACACCAGTCAGACGAGGACCGGGGATGATAGTCCCCTCTTCAGACTCTCGCCGTGGTCTAGTTGACTTGGGGTTAGGTAGGGATGTGCGAGATGAACATGTTCATCGCCGTCAAGAACGCTCGGCCTCTCTACCTGGAGGTGTTGAATTGGGTGACCAAGCTCGTGCCTTGGTTTCATTATTCCATGTAAGTCACCGACTCAGTCTTTTCAATTTTTAATTTCATCATTCTTCCCTTTCTCTCTTTCTTATACTTGGTATATATAGGGCAAAGGTACTTCCAACCGAACTCGAGAACGCTCTGCCTCTATCTCAGAGGTTGAGATAGCCAACTCAGTTGATCGTCCGCGCCAACCTAGGGGCCAGAAGAGTCAAAAGGCATTTATTTAAATCGATTCAATCTCTTCTTTGACCAAAACTTCATACTTAATCTTATTGCTTTTCATTTTCAAACCCTCTAGGAACCATTGGCACCTCCCAAGGTGGACCTAGCACAGGATTCAGACGAAGACAACGAACGAATCCAAAAGCAAAAGCGAAATCAACCTGCTGATCTTGAATTCGACAGTCCATTCATTTACTATGACAAACCTTTTCATGGAGTCAACAGAGATGGAGTGCCAGACGTAATTAATTTCAAAATTTTTACGATTATTTCATTGCTATCTAATCTTTGTTTACTGATATGCAAATTGTTTGTAGCCACCTGACGGACCACCCCTCTTCTATACGTGTCTCATGTGTAACATGGTTGTTCGTATCAGCTTGAGCTCATGTACCAATCTCAAAACCCATCGAGATGGAAGTAACGCGCCTGGGAATTCGGGTGTGGGATGTTTTCAACGTCAACGGGCGATCGACGCCGGTGCAAAACTTCCTCCAACAGTTTCTGGACTACGAGCTCAGAAAATGCAGCAAGATCATCAAGGATCACTTGCTGCTTTTATCACCCCAGCACCTACTTATTCAAATCGCACCCTCAATCAATGCCTTGCTGTTTGGCAAGTTTCTCAAGGTTTACCTTTCAGTAGAATTGACGATCCCATGCTCAAAGCTATCATGTATTGGCTAAGACCTGATGCACAAGTGTTCGGTCGAAACGAATGACTGGAAGTATGTCGTGCGACACTTGAGTTTCAAACTCGTCGCATGGCATCACAAGGGTTCAATGCTTGCCGAGCCAATGGTGGCATTATTGAAGAAAAACAACTTATATCAAAAGATAAGTGTTATTCACCTTTATTCATATCTCACTTTTCTCACTTTTCAATTAGTTTTGTATTATTGTTCATGTACTGACATGAGGTTCAATGGTACATGCTTGCAAATGTTTCCGACTCAGGAAGCAATAATTTTACTCTTGCTTGTGAAATGCATCGTCAGCTATACGACGAAGTCCTGCAATTGGGCCATCACTTCAGTTGGAACCCCAAATCAATGTCCATCCGGTGTTTCTGTCATAAGATGGGGTTGATCGTCAAAGCCGGACTTGATGCCTTGGGAATGAAACCACAACGTATCCGTCATAGCATGTTAGGTCGGTTCCCTCCTGTCGAACTCATGGCTGCTATCACAGAAGAAGACGAGCCATCTGGATGTGAGGAAGTCAAAAGTACTGAAATTGATGAAGATAGCGATGGGTGTGATGTTGATGATTTGGAAAGTGTGGATTCAAATGATGCCGATTCAAATGCTGATGAAGAGGTAGCTGATCAGGAAGAAGAAGATGATGAGCAAGAGGACATGCCCTCATATTATAAGAACCGCAAGGCTGCGTATCTTCTAGGTAATACTTACATGATGCAACTAACTAAAGACGTGAGTTTTTCTTTGTTTTTAACCTTTCACTTCCTTATTCTCATTCTTTTGTTATTTTTTAGATGGACACAGTCAATAAGAAGATCACTCGGTCAAGTGCTCATCGTGCTGATTTCAATCGACGACGAGTTCAAGCTAATCATCAACGGGTAGAAGATGGATTAAGGCCGCTCAAGGTTTTATTGTCAGGCCATGGAATTCGCTGGGGCATTCGCGCCGAGCGTTGGGAGCGAATGTGGGAGGCCCGAGCTGTAGGTGTTTTATTTCTATGTTTTCTAATTGACACTTGATGTGTTTAATGAAAGCTAATATCTCTTTTCAATTCAACCTCCCTCAGCTGATTAATACTTTGATGACAGAAGATTTGACCGAAGTTCACTCGAAAAAGCGTCGACCCAGAAAAGACGGTAAAAAGCATGGATATTTTGAGGAGATGATCTTCTCAGTGGCGGATTGGCAAGCTATGAGGGACATTTTAGACATTCTCACTGTAAGTGTCTTTTTTAATTTCTTTATTTTGTTCTCTTTGATCTTTTCTTTTTACTCGATTCTTTATTTTGTTCTCTTTAATCTTTTCTTTCTAATCGATTCTGACCAATACTTTCACCACCTCACAGCCATATAAGATCCTGACTCGAGAGATGGAGGGTGACAAACCCACTGGCTGTATGGTCTTAGCCAAGTATGTTCAGCTGAAGTCTTCAATGGAAAACCGGTTGAACAGGATGCACGAGAATGATCCACTCTACCTAATGGTGGATGTGATGATAAGTAAGATAATTACCTATTTAGATGAATCATTAGATTGTGATACTATAGTCCTAGCAACCCTCTTTAACCCCGGTCTACGAGTTAAATTCTTTGCTCGCGCTTTTGGAGACGACTCTAATCACCACGCCCGAGCTCGAGATCTTCTGGAATCTGCATTCATTTCACAGCGTGATTCACCCGATTTTCAAAGCCAAACTACCGACAGCCCTCCTCCAGCTTCAACCAACACATCAGATGAATCAGACTTTTTTAACCTTTATAATGAAGTTGCAACGTCCAGCAACTTGAACGAACTTGAGCGGTACCTTCAAGGTATCGACCCTATGGTTTCTCCTGATATGAGCAATCCTCAATGTGCTTTAGATTGGTGGAAAGTAAGTAATCAATTCTCTTATCCTTCTTTAATCTTTACTTTCATACTTTACTTATGTGTGATTGATCTACAGACTCATGCTGGCAAATATCCAGTCTTATCGATACTTGCTCAAAACTACCTGGCAACACCTGCAGCCTCAGCTGCACCCAAGCGATCATTCTCAATTGCTGGTCAAGTCTGCACTCCTGAACGTGGTGGATTGGCTCCTCAAATGATCAAGATGACGGTTAGTGGTCGAATCTGGGCAATTGAAGGGGTTCCTTTTGCTGGAGATTTTGGTGAAGTCGGCAAATTCTAGAATATGCAAAGAAGGCAGTCAAAAAGAAAACTCGACAGTCTCATTTTTAATGTTTTCATTTCACTTTTTTTGATTTCAACTTTATTTTATTACATTTTCTTTACACTCTTTTATAACACCTTACTACTACCTCTTGTTTATCTTTCTTGACGCTCATTCATGTCTCTTTTTAATAATCAATTACATTTCATTTTTGAAAAAAAAATCGCTGCTTTTTTGCCTGCAGCGCTGTGAAGCTCTGCTGGGCACAAGTTTCGCTTTCAGCTGAGATTTTTGGGTGAGATTTTTTTTAAGCTGCCTTTACCATTGACGCACTTGAGGGAGCCCAAAATCAGCTGCGCTGCTCAAAATGGGGTTGGAAGCGCTGCGCAGCGCTGCGAGCCAGGTTTGTGGTTATGCTTGAGTGGAAATCTATGTTGGACCACTGAGCTGAAAGTTTGCCCCATGTGATGCTGACAATGTAGCAAATCAATTAGGTGTGGTGAAATTATCACAGGCTAAATGTAGACGTGTTGCTGGGCACTTCAAACATCTTCAAAGGTGTAGAGCACAACACCTGAAAAAATAATGCAGGTCAAATGTTTCAGTTAATTCTGGAGATTGAAGCTGAGACCATGTGACAGGTGAATGGCAGTACAAAAAAGTATAGGAATGAGTTACCAATTGAGGCAAGCTGATACCTCCTCTACAAGGTGCTTTTAAGGGTGGTTAGATGTATGCCTGCCTATCCTTGACTTAACCTATCAAGCTGCATATTTCCAGAACCATTATCTATAACATGTGTGTCCTTTGGTGAGGATGTGTTGGGTGAGTTTTGTATTAGCATGAATAGATTAGCTGGCATGCCGGCCTACTCTCCAGCTGTCCTTAAGAGTCGTACAAGTACATTTATTTGATTATCATTGCTGTTCAAGCCTCTTCTTTTTGAAGCTTTGAGTTCAATAGGTCATGTTTTAATTTTGATCCTGGAACTCTTATTGGATTTAATCAAATGATACACAATATTGTTTTCAACAGTTGCCTTCAGCAGAAAAACCTGTACCCATCTAAACATGATGTGTATCACTACATATATGTCAATTTTGAATATCCTTGTATTAAATTTCTTGTGCCTTTTGCTTTCTACATTGATCTTTGTTTGCTATCATTAAACTTTGTGCAATCAGTTCTTTTTGACTAATTCACATGGGTCATTGATACCCTGACAAGAGCTGATAGTTCCATTCTTAATTGTGAAGATCTAGTTGTAGATCACAAGCTGAGGAATGAGAACTATAAAAGTTCACTCAGTTATATTTCTTTCCTTGGCCTCTGGATGAAAGGTAAACTCTCTTTTTACATGTTCTACCACCTTACTCTACTCTCTCTTTCCGTGAGACCAATAACCTTTTTGGCGTGGTGTGGGTAGCTTTGCAGGGAGAGAACCTAGTAACGGATTATTATACCACCCCTAGACTCT